TTATGACCTCGAGGCAAAGACGTCTATGATCTAGTGCTGACATGTCAGTGTAATATCCCATGTCAYTTTTGGCTCATTCATCCAATGAATTCAAGCAGGAAACGTTCTCATTTCAACAGCAACACTCCCTCGGAGTGGAAGGAGCTGCTAAGGAGATGATAAAGGCCTACTCCATTCTGGAAATACTTGTGAATTAGGATGCTCAAATTTTACAGAATTGCCCCACAGATAGCACTGATGCATGCCAGTGAGGTAGATAGAAATGGATGTGCAGGATTTAATTTCAATATCCAATATCCACATYCCACCCTTCCAGCTTCTATTGAATTTTGTAACCATAAAACTGACATAATATCATTTCACAATATTTTTGATTATTAAAAATAATGTGCTTTGAAGTTTGATTGAATTTTTATCCAATAATGTAAAGATGACTAATAGTAATCAACAAATTGAAGTAGCAAGTTTTGTGTTTCGAACCAACCATTCCCATAATGTTCAYGTGCTGGACGTTTTATTTTACAAGTTCTCATTAAATTCCTTTTCTATTTCTCAGCTCCGTGTGAAAATTTGCTGCCATTTAAAAAAAAAAGGCTCTTTATTTCTGCATGTGCTAATACTTAGTGTAACACATCACACATGGTGTGAAACACTGTGTGAAAGCCTGTTGTTTACATAATGCTTTGCAGCATCTTCCTGCCTACACACAACARTTATTAGAGATTTATTTCCCCCTGCTTCTTTCCCTTTAGTCAATATGTGTTGCTGAAGTAACAATRGGAGCCATTCGAGCTTGATCCATAAAACATATAGTCACTCAGACATGTGATCCTCGGTGTCAGTCCTCACCTCCTCCGTCACCACATCTTTCAGTCTGTGTCTCTCACCTGCATTGAAATTGACATTTTGTAGTGGCATCACATCTTCCCGTAATCCTCCTCTGGATTGGCTGCAGCCCACCCCCATCTGTCAGGCCTGAAGGTCGTCGTGTGAGGGGCTTAAGTAAAAGAAAATGACCTGCTTGGAACACATTCCGGTGACCTGAGCCTGAGCTGAATGTAACCTGCGTTGGATGATTGAGAGAAAATTAGAGAGATATTTTCACAAGCTCCTGTAGACTATTTCCCTGAGCACTTTTGCAGTGGAATTGTATAACCTTATTGTTACCAAGACAAGAAAGAGTTTTTTGCTTGTTTATTTGTTTTTTACAGTAGATCATTCGACTAAAACCTAAAAGTTTTTTTCACTTGTTTTGTTAGAAGCAGATTTCCTGAATCTTTAAAACATTTTTGTACAATCATCAAGATTTGAGAACTTTTATTTAAAGCTGACCCTCCAAATACCATCAAACAAAACTAAGAGATTACACTAATGGATATTGATCAAACACAATTGTTGTATTTGCACCTGCTTTGACAACAGTATATCACAAATATATATTTTCAGAAGTGTATAGTAAGTACATTTACTTTGTTACAGTACTTTGTTGTTTGAACTGTGAAGCAGTCAGGTTCTCTATCCAAGACAAATTTCCTTTGGGACAATAAARCTAATCTTATCTTATCGTATGTAAAATGTAAATAGCTTTAACTGCTTGTTTAC